AGCATGTGAATTAAGGGTTGTTTTGTAATATAAAATATAAAATCACTAATCAATGAAGGGTTGTGCAAGTTCATGGATCAATCGAAGTTAAACATTAAAACCGTTGGATACTGGCTCAGTGGTCTAGAGGCTAACTGTTCACGCGCGAGACCGAAGGTCTCAAGTTCGAGTTTCGAGTATGGGAGCGTGGATGTGCACTGTTAAGGAGTCCCGTACTGAAACGAAACAGTCGTCCAGTGCTTACAGGTTTTTCAGTGGTGGTCTAGCTTAGATCGATTCATGAATTCAACTGATAATGTCGTTAGCGTTGGGATGACTAATATGAAGTGTTGTCTTGACTAAGTTTATACGTTAAATGAAATTGTGTTAAACGATTCGAATAAAGATGGTTAACATGGGATGAGAGAGACAATAATATAATTATAAATCAAAAATCACGCAATATGTAGAACAATATGAATTGGGTATACATTAGTGAATAGGGTTGGATGCTGAGTAAGTCCCTCAAAAACATTTGCCGGTATAATAATAATGTGTGAATAAGTTAAGTTTAAGTTATGAAAATGAACATAAACCGAATTGCGTCACCATATCATAAAATGATTATTAACTAATTAGGCTAGAAATTAGTCAAGGTGAAAGAAGAGTTTGAACATATTTCTTCTAGACACTAGGCTCCGGACTTTTATTCCCAATAGCTATTACTTCAGCCGTCTGAAGGATTCTCAGTCTAATGGATCTAGGCATATTGCTGTCAACACGATATATTATTGTGAATTATTGCTCCATGTTGGCTGTATGACCCGTTTGTCTTAAATAAGCTAAAATCGAGCTGTTAACAGTTTTGACGTTTGCCTAACGTATTAAAAGCAATTTGCCTAAATCCGTCAGACTGAGAATCCTTCAAACAGTTATCTGTCAGTTGATGGCTTTTGATAATCCACCTACCAATATCAATCTACGATGAAAGCGTTCTTCAGAAAATATGTAATTATTCAATACGTACAAAAATTCCTTTTAATTCTGCACTGAACGGTAATTAGTCCAGTAAACAAACTTAAGTTTCGAATTATAAAATTGGCAAACCGTACACCAGATTTTTATTAATGATTGCTTGAGCAATTTCAATTACCATTGTCACCATAAATATCATCCCTAGCTCCATAAAATTATGTCAGTTAAATAGAACACCTAAAAATCACCTGAGTAGATATGGAACCAGTCGTTGATTCTGTTTAATTTCACTGAAATTAATAGATCCAGAGAAGCAAAAGAGTATAACTAACTGAGAACATTTATGGGTTTCTCATCTACACTATAACCAACAAAAGAAATACCAAACAACATTTCCGTTGTATATCTTTTTTTTGTTTTTAGAACTACAAAAAGACTTGGAAATTTTCATTAACAATTATCAGTAAGTGTTTAAACTTATTCATGGGAGGGGTGTAGTTTCACTGAGCTTCAGTACGAATAATAGTGAAGTTTCATAGAAGCACTTATTATGATTCATTTAGCCAAACATTGATGTTGATATACTTTACTAATGATAAATGAATTTCTATCTCTTACTTCCAATAATCTTATATAAGATTAATTAAATAAGCAGAAAACAATACCACCACGTTATTTTGTCTAGTATTATTCCATAAATATTACAAATTTCTAATCAGAAAGGGGTTTTGTGGAGATTTTAGTAATTTTATGTAATTGAAATCAGAAGTCGATTGAGGCTAGTCCACCATGGAAAACATGGAAGCACTAAACGGCTGTTTCGTCCTATTGTGAGACTCTTCATTAGCAGTGCGCATCCACGATTCCACAATAGAATGAAACGGCCATCCAGTATTTCCAGGTTTTCCATGATGGTCTAGTTTTAATTGACTCATGATCTTAACTATATAAAATTTCTAATTATCAATATTAGTATGATGCCAAATGTACAGCTTTTTTCTCACAAAAATTGATGAATATATATGTTTCCATGTTACCAAATGATCTGTTTACTACACCATCTTTAAATATAAACAAAATTAATTAGAACGTTCTAATTATAATTTTTATACTTTAATTGAATATAAATTTTTATGTTTATATTATTGAATTAAGATTTATGAAGAATAAGGTTCATTTAGATGATAAAAATGTTTAATAAGAGAATATTATAAATATGATATTGTTCATAAATTCTAAATATTTGATATTTATTAACTAATAAATCTAAGGGGGGTTTCTGTGGACATTTTTAAGTGATTTTTATATATACTTGAAATCATAAATCAATTGAAGCTAAACCATCGTAGAAAACCTGGAAACACTGGACGGCCGTTTCATTGGATGCCGGCTCAGTGGTCTGTCGGTCAAGTGCTCTGGCGTTAGGTCCTGGGTTTGAATCTCGCGAGGCGGGATCGTGGATGTGCACAGCTGAGGAGTCCCACAATAGGACGAAACGGCCGTCCAGTGCTTCCAGGTTTTTTACGGCGGTCTAGCTTCAATTGACTCTTGATTTCAAGTATATATAATAAATCAAATTTTATTTTATAGGATGGGATTCGATAAATGTAATAAGGTGAAGAGAGTTTTTAATACAAAAGATACTACTTATAATTTACTTAAGTTTATTATTACTCATGAGGTATAGGCCGCTGACCAGGGATAGAGTTCAGATCAATTCTTTCCTGGTCTCTTATTTCCAGTTTTTTTCACAAATACCAGTAGCAATTTTGATTTTCGTCTCCGAGTCCCAGAGCTATTGGTTCACTGATTTGCATCATTTACCTTTCATTTAAGATTTCCTAGGTAGAGATTGCATCAAGATGTATTTGGGTGACTTCTACAGTATGTGTCCTATCCACTTCCAACGTCTTTTCCTGATTTCATTTTCAGCTGAAAGCTGGTTTATTTATATATCATAGTCAATTATTCCTGATAGTATCTCCTAAATGGATCTGTAGTATCTTGAGTAGACAAACGTCAACGATGTTGATATATAGTGATGAACGTCCTTCAATTGATGATTGTTCAACACTGATTCGCAGTGTTGTGAATTGGTTAGTACATGATCGATCCTCAATAAATCCAGCTTGTTGTTCTAGAATTAGGAGTCTACTGAATCTATCATACGATTCAACAACACAGTTGAAAACAGTAGTGTGATATCTCTGTGTTTCTAACACTTACTGAATTCTCCTTCGATATCCTGACAAAGTGCCCTCAGATGGATAATTTAAGTGGAACTTTGTCCTCTAAACTGGATGGTTTGGTAGTGGAGCCTTGACATTCTTTCCAAAAATCGCCTTCACAAACTTCAGATAGAAATGAAGTGTTGTTCAGAAGTTGAAAAAATGGTCCACAACCAAATCATCCAGCTCAGAGAACAAAACTCCACCAAAAGTATTCTTCTTTCTGGTCTATTGACACTTATTATTACCGCCAAATCTTTCTGAGTAGGGTGTGAAGCATCCCTGCATATGCCTCTATGTCTGACTTCTATTCTTCAGCTGGTAGGTTGTCTGGTCTTACTGCTGCTTTCCCAATTATTCACTAGTCTTCTAGTCATTCTGTCCTCTTCAGTTGCTTGCAGGATGATATCTGCAGAAACGTCTGTGTGCACTGCCTCGATTTCCATCATTTTCATTAACGGTTATCTATTCAACAATTATTCTAGGTGTTGTACACACCTGTTCCATTTTCCTACATCCTAGTTCAGTGATTGGCTTTCCTAATAAATTATCATATCTGATAACTCGGATCTACTGAACTTTCCTGAGAGATTTTCTTTTGAATCACACGGTTCGTGGACACTTCTTTCATTCAAACTATTTTATGAGACCTGATTTGCTACTTTATCAGTAACATTACAAAAATATCATACAATTTCCCAAAATCAACTAAATTTATCTTGAGTTCCAACTCATTAGTCTGAAGATTTCATGCTCAACATAAGTCCTAAAGGCAATGGGTCAATCTGTGTGACGCTATGAGTGTACATTGATGTAGAGTTCAAAATTGGGTTGAGAGAAATATCGACTAACCTCTTGCTTTAAAGTGGTTCTCTAGATTATTTCAGTAAGTGTTAAAGATTAGATTTTTTAAAATCATTTAACTCGTCAGACTGAACTTCATCATTTGTGATACAACTTGTAGCGTTATGTTTATAATAAACTGAGGTTATTTGAAGAAAAATAGGTTAGATAATACTCTACGATTTTAAGTCGATATCTTGATAAATATATCCCTATTCATCAAAATTTACATCTATTACATGTGGAAAACAAATCATTTATGGTATATATCATGAATCGATTTTAGTTATACAAACACTGAGAATCAGGAAGTACTGAACAGATCTTTAGTTCCAATATGTGGATCCTCAGTGGTGTGCATCCAAGACCCCACCAGGGATCGAAACTAGAACCTTTAGACATCAAGGAGAGCACTTATTATTCAAACCACTGATTCAACATTGATTAGTTTACACATCTAGCTACAGTCATTTCTCAATATTGCGTGACGATTATCCATCGTCAGTGGCAATATTTGTCCCAAACTCGACACAGTTTAACTCACCGATAACAGCTTCTCATTAGAATTTTGGATTTAAATATCGAAATAGGTTACTGGGAAGCATATGGTACTGTAAATTGGCATTGTAAATTCCACATTTTACATTTAACAGCCATCCATTACTTTCTGGTTTACAGTGTGCTTGTATAATTAAGGTCAATCTGTGATGTGTGTAATTCTATAATCTCCACAATACTCTATGATAAAAGTAAATTTTTATTTGGTACAAATCCTTGAAATATTTATTCATTCATCCATTAAAATAAACACTGAATAAAACTAGTACACATGTAGATCTATTCTGAAATTTAAGTGTCTAATAATTACCGATATTGTGAACCTCCATTTCTATCACATACACACACACACAACATGCTTGAATATATGTTTATGTTTTTCCTCATTTTAATTGACCAGTCAAGGTTATTCATCATTGGTAATGTGAATTAAAATCCAACCAAATTCATTCATTCTAAAATTTATATATAAAGTCATCCGAACAATCAAATGTACTATTTATTTCACGTAAAATTTTTCATATTAGCTATTACTTCTAATTCATAAATGGCTGAATTAGTTGGAACATGGAAATATCTTGAAAGTACCAACGTGAAAGAATTGTCTAGTGAATTAGGTGATTAGTTATAAAAAAAATTTTTTATTTACAATTTTTTAAAAAAATAATCAGGAACTCCTAATGATGTATTTAATGTTATCAATAAAATGAAATCAAATATGATCATAGATTTGGGTGATAATGAAGTACGCATAAAAATGATAATAGGTGATGAAGAACTGGATCAATCATTTGAATTGGGTCAAGAAGTTGAAGAATTAACATTTGATGGACGAATAGTTCGAGTAAGCAAAATATTAAAAAAAAGCATATTTGTGTTTTCTAAACAGTGGTTAATAGTAGGATCCTATACTTACATTTTATCCTATTTGAGATTTATCAGCTAGATATGTTTACATCCCAATGTCGACTTTTATACTGCGAACTCAACCTTATGCCTTTTTTTTAAATTTTACCTCATAATCCATTTAGCCATTTAGTCACGATACCTTTTAATTTATTTAACAAGTATTCTCTCCTTTACGAGTAATAAGTTGTCTAAACTAAAATATTCTAGTCAATAGATTATCACAGTAAAATTGAAGTTGGTTTTGCATAATCCCTCTGTTGGAATATGATTAATCAATTAAATGGTGAATGTATCTGCTTTGTAAAAGCTGAATTGCATTGTCTATAGTTAATTATTCTGTTATTTGTAATCATTTTAAAAAGCCGAAACGTAAATATATAAATATCTATTTCAGATTAAATGAGGATAAGATCTAAATACGATGTATCTAATCTGTGACTTTTCAATTGAATATACATAGATCTCCGTAGATATTGATGTAGTTACATTCATCTATACATCCCAAGATAAGATGAGGTATATAGACTTGAACAGTATTTCCGAACTTTCAGTGATTTTCTAGCTAAAATGATGCTTAGGACTGCAACTGGTCAGTCACTAATTGGCATATGTGCATACTGTGCGTATTGCCTTAATTCACAACCATTGTAAGTAAACAATACTAAGTGAATTCAAACTTCACCCGATTGCACAAGCAAGTGGCTGTCAGGACTCAGTAGCTGAGTGGATAACGCGATGGAGTTTGAAGCGGAAGGTGCTGAGTTCGAGTCCCAGAGTGAACATCAACTCTGGGACGCAGGTACATTCAGCTGATGAGTCCAAAATGGGACGAAACGCTAGTCCTGGATTCCACTGCTAGCCACTATCCATCTTTGCATACAATACTATTAATACAGCCTATTATACTTTATTCGCTGAAATTTAACTGTGTTAAATTTACGATGCATATAACAATGTTTGTTGATTATGCATTTTGTGAGCATCCCTCATCAAACTCTTAGTTCTGTTTGAAATTAATTCTCATCGTAGACTGATACCACCAAGATGAACATTTTAAAAAACAACAAAGAGCTAGACAGTTATTTCCTCTTGGTGTTAAACTTGTTAGCGCTGTACACCAGTGATCTTGTTATGCATTGAATCCTAGATCATCAGATCTCAAACTAGTAACTTAGCTATGTTATTTACATGTTAAACATGCTGATTGATGACGATGTTATAAAGGGGACGTATCATATGCATATGAATGTGCAGTCGATTACGTTCATCGAAGTGGCATGTTCTTGAGCAATGATTACTCTAGAAAATCAGATTGGTGATATAAGTTCCTCAAATTAACTGGTATCAGGAGATAAAATAGATGATTCATAAAACATTCCGCTAGAATAATGCACATACGTATTAAGTGTTTCATGCAAAATAAAAGTAATTAAAAATCGGATAAAACACTTATACATTTGTAGGATAAATGTCTTTGTGGATTACTCAACAGTCAAGAGAACTACAACCTGGGGATCAAGCTTAATTACAGTTACCATTGTTAGATAAAGTGCAAGATATCAATATCATTGAAAATACTGATTCATAATACTACGATGGATTATGAATAGAATAGTGGTTATTTCACAATCTTAGTAACAACTATTTAACTTAATTTTATGATTTACACCACGAATTGATCTTTGTTAGACAACTTCCAAAACCAGGAAACACTAGACAGTTGTTTCGTTTCAATAGAGGATTCATCAGCACAATGTATTCATAACTCCGTCAGAAATCAAAGCATAGACCTTAAAGTTCTTCAGATAGCGTATGACCTTTAGATCATTGAGTTGATGATCAATAGTTTACATTCATTTAATTTTAATTTAATTTTAAATGAATATGAGTATACGTTTGGAAAAATACATTGATCGATATATTAGTTAAATGAAGTTTGCTTTCATATTTAAATACGAAAATAAATTGACTCAATTGTCGTAGGCTTAATTCATTTTTCTTTTACTAAAATAAGTCTTTATTTATTGTTATATCGTGTGAGTGCCCTGTTTAGTATATGAATGATAAGACCACCTATCAGAGAGGAATGATTTATAGATCAGAGCTATGATACACGAAAGCCGTATGAGCAGTCTTGAGTACTTGTCAGTCCTGCTATCTGCCTAGCCCAGTCAGTTACGTCCAGAACACCAATCTCAGCCTCTGTAATATGAATTCTTATTCACAAACATACTGGGTTTATATACCAATCAAACAGACCACATCGTGCCATAAAACAGAAAATAACATTTGTACAATATTTAGTCAAATGTGGTTGTGAATAGGGGGAATAGTAATCAATAGACTAGGGATAACTCAAGAATGGTATATCGTATAATAATAGTTCATAGGTCAAAATAAAGCTTATAATAAGGGGGACACGAATACGAATAGTTTAGTTACTTGAAAATTATACAATAGGAAATACATATATCACATTTGTTCATAAATAGTCCTCAAAAGTTACCATTCACAATTCTCTTCGGGATGCAACAATTATCTGTATGTAAATAATAATAATAATAATAATAATAATAATAGTGTTAAATAATATTACAAACAGACTCAAAGATGAAGTTTTATTTTGTAAAAAAAGAAAGATGTTGGGGCGATCCAAATTATTCCTGGAAAAAGTCTAGAGGGGATCTAGAAATGCTGGGATACATTTTATTCAATCAGCGTTGAATAGAAGTTTTTCAGAAACATCTAAAAAACGAAGAGTCACATGTCACATTTTCGGTTGGATGGTTACATATCCTACCACTATTTTTAGTAAGGTTTCAGAAACCTCCAGAAGCTTAAGGTCAACTAAAATACTTTAAATACCCTCTATTTTCTGCACATAAACTAACCTTTCAGTGAAGAGTTCTTTTCACATTTTGCAGCTTTTCAGTCATGTTCAAACTGTCTTGTAGACTTAACCTGGAGTTATTAGAAGAGATTATGAAGTCGATTCAAGTGTTCAGTTAGACGACTTATCAAATATGTACAAGTTATGAATATTAGTAAGGAAGATAATTAAAACCAGTCAAAAGTATAATCATCAATGAAATGAATAGATTCTTTTATTTTTAATCGTTACTTTCAAACTGATAACTCTGATAACTTTTCGGATCAGTAATTTATTCTATTTCTGAATCTGAATAATGAATTCAGAGTATATCCTAATGGAGTTTGCACTTTTCATATCAACAACGTAATTAACCAGACTTTTAAAATCATTTTACAAAGAATAAAATTGAATTCTGAGGTAATATAGGAAAAGAGCAAAATAAAATAGAACAGAATTGATTATTATGCAATATTATTTACTTCAGATTCAAGTCAAAGTGTTAATTCTTTTCTCAGTGTTAAACTATACAAAGTCTATCTATCACTGTGATTTTTCTAAATTTGAATTAAATTTATCATCATGGACAAGTAACTGTTGAAGAATCGCTAGAAGTCAGTAAACAATGAATTGTCAAATTAGATAAATAGTATAGATAATAATCGATGATGATTAAACAATATCACGAAGGTTCAAAATGCAAACCGTTAAATTACAGTTTTATGACCAAATGATGTGATATATTTTGGGAACTCCGTAATACGTATTTTTGTGAACACTTTTTGCAAGGCCAAATCTTTATCTTGTCAGTAAATTTTATTACTAAACTTCTTTAAGTCATTTTTTTTCTGATGACGATACGTATATGCTATCATTCGAAGAATAATCAATATATTATTTGTATTAATATAGTAGGTATATACATCATGTGATTTCTCAAGGGTAACATTCTCCAACACTAAACATCATTTTCAGCTTCTAGAAGACTAATGGAATAATTCTCATTTTGAGTTACTATGTATGAAACTTACGATCGCTCTGGATTTCAAAAGTAAGTAATTCAACCTATAGAGTGGAGAAAGTCAAGTCCGGTATTTACAAAAATAAATTCGTTAGGGTGTTCATTTATGTTCATTTAAAGTCATTTGTACTTGTAGTTACAAAATTCAAGGCTTACAAAATAATAATACATGAGAACTTGTTGAGTTTAATTACCTTGAAGATAGCTTCTGTTACAGACTTTATTGGCTGGATGATAGTTAAATACCATGAAATATCGAATAGTTGTCTCATTCTAGTCTAGGAATTCCCAGTAATATTCAGCTAAAACCCTACATTACCTCGAATCAGTAGTATTTATGTCCCTCTATTAGTGCATTAACACTAAAATTTCAAATTATACTGTGATTACTTCGTTTATTTTTAAAATTTGACATAAATTAACAGTATTTTTCCTGTCTAATAGGCTATTGTAACCATTGAATCAGACAAGAAAATGGTACATGTACAAAAACATGGCTTTACAGAAACTGTCATTACACGTGAAGTTGATGGTGACACTTTGATAACAGTGAGTTTTACATTTTTTTAAAAGATATTGGGATAAACTTAATACAAGAATCTAAGTATTTTAGAAGTGTAAAGTCCAGTCACTTGCAATTTAGCTAATTTAGGCTAACTGTAGATCTGATAATTAACATCATGAATTGATCTCAGTTGAACAACCATCGAGAATCAGGAAGCACGAAGCACTTACCTCGTCATAGTATAGAAATTTTATCATTGAACATCTACAGGCCCACCAACTATCGAGTCCCAGGAACCTCGGTCTCGCGTCGAAAACTTAATCTTTAGATCACTGGTCTAGAATCTAAGGGTTTACATATTGAACTTCAATCAATTTTCCATATTGTCCAATCACCTTCCATTATCTCCAGGTGTTAACTGTCTGACAATGCACATGATCGAAATCTAATGACCACAGCTTACCACTGTAACTTCACGAGTTATCACTCAAAATAATCTCAAATGGACACATGATCATCATTACTACATAGGCGGTTTGCAGTATTGAAGTCGCGGATTGACACTTTTATGGTCATCCAAGTAACACCAACCGCACTTGAGTTGTATTGAAAAAGATTGCATTAAAACCCCTTGATTTTACATGAATCTAAGTAGTAGAGATTTTTTAATGACCCTTGTAATTTTTTATTCAAATTAACTCAGAAAAACGTATATTTCATATAATTTTCTAAGCTGTAAATAAACTACTAATAAGTAGAACGAACAGTTTTTAGAAATTTATTTCGTCAACTTACATTTTCTTAAATTACACAAATCTTCAGAACGTACGTTCACTTGGTGTTTATTAGACTACACAACAAATATTATTCATTTGCTACTAGTTTAAACCAACCGCACCATATGGTATTATTATCAAATCAAACAATCTATTATTAATATAAAAAGTGTGTTTTATTACATGATTGTGTCGGTAAATCTAATTTGTAATCACAATTAACGTTTATGCTTAGCGTATAACAATCCTCATTACCTGACGAATAATCATCTAAATAAGTTCTATGGTTCACGAAAGAATTCTTCTAATAAATGAATGTATATAAATCTAAGTACATAATTATAATGAACATCATTAACGTTTCAAATAAATCTCTTTTTTATGGAATTCACATGAATTCAATAACTAAACCAAGTATATTCTATTTATTTATCATATCTGAAGAGATCCATATTGTGAAAGCTTCATATATAAATAACTTTCTTGAATTGATCATTTCTGATATTACTTAACCAATTTTTTGAGCACTCATATGTAGTATATTTGTTCCAAGTTCAACTAAATGCTATAATCGATTAGATAAATAGATTCTAGAGTTTATCTCAATTCATGATGAAAACCAACTTAGATATAAACTAATCTACACAAACCCCCCGGACTAAATATATTTTTTATAAAATGAAAAGTTTCATTTAATAGTCAGAAGAACAATATGTCGAAAAAGCATGATTCTTTACAAATACTTTCTTATTATATATCTGAACAAATATGCAAGTTAGAAAATCATTGATTTGTATAATGAAAACTCGCAAAATGGCACTAATTATAGAAGTGATGAAAACCAGAGATAAGTCGAAAGCTATTTATTTCTGTTATTTGAAGCATCAATATGTACTATGTATCATTATGTATTCACTGATTCACAAGAGTCTCAATTAACAACCTTTACGTTTATACTGAATAATCATTGAATAGTGAAAAATATCATGTTCATTCGGTCTTGATCCTCGTTTAATTTTATCGACCAAGTTCTGATGTATCCATTAGTCAAAGTAACATGAAACCGTGTGCATTGTGCTGGGTGATTAAAGATAGTTTTTAAGAGACCCTGAAATAAAGTTCCCTGAGGATTGTGACTCATGATTACGACTTACCAGAAATTTTGGGGAAACTAATGCTTCCTGTTTGATTTAGGCGATAGAATGACAGTTTCCCGTCGACCACATACCAACCAACTAACATATTTATGTTCCATAGAGAGTGCAATACTGTTGAATAATTAATAAAGCATACGTTAAATTCCAATCAGTTTATATTATAGAACTAAACAAATTTTATAAATATTGTTCAATAAACTACTGTCTCGTTAATAACTTGACTGACTCTATACAAGATGGTAGGTGTGTAGTGCTAAATATATCCTCTAAAGTACGATGAGTTAGTTATTCGAAGTTTTTGAAAAGTTCTCAGTTTTTGCTATATTAAAAAATTGTTATCAAATTGTATACAATTTTCACAAATAATCAATCAACAGTAAGATACGTACGAAACAAATAATGGTAAGTAAGTTTAAATTTTGTAATTACCCATGAAGATATCAATTAAGAACGTCATTTTAAAAAAAGGTACAGTTAATTAGATTATAAGCAAAGACAGATAGTAACTAGCAGTGGAATCCAGGACTCGCGTTTCGTCCTAATTGGGGCTCATCTGACGGATACACCTGCATTCCGGAGTTGATGTTCGCTCTGGGACTTAAACCTAGTACCATTCGCCTCAAACACCGTCGCATTATCCGCTTGGCTACTGAGCCCTGACAGTCATTTGCTTAAACAGTAAGATGACTCAGTACCTTAGTAGATAATGAGACGGCGTTTGAAGGGAATGGTACTCGGTTCGAGTCCCGGAGTGAACATCAACTCTGGGATGCAAGTACGTTCAGGTATATCCAGCTGACCAATCCCAAATGGAACTAAACGCATGTCCTGGATTCCACCGTTAGGCACTTTTTTTTTATCATACTTGTGAATTAAGGCAATATGAAGGTAATGCTCACAGTATGCACATATACCAATAATAGACTGACCAATTGCAGTCCTAAACATCAATGGGAAGATTCGAGTAAACAATGACAAATGAATTTAATTAATTAAATTAATTGTGAAATTTAAAAACTCATCAAATAAAGAAATCAAAACAGACTGTTATGGAACTGATAGATTATGTAATAAAGTGTAAAACTAAGTGTAAAAAGTTGAAAAGTTTTATCAACTGACTAAATATTAACTAAATATAGTTACGTAAGAATAAAGGGAGCGATAGAAAATATTAATTGTGAAAAGGAATGGAAGGTCTTTTGTAGGCCAACTTAACACCCGAACAACATCCGGAAAAAGCAACGACAGTTCAAAAGAAAAGTCTTTTTATGTATATTGAATTTAAAGGAGGTACAGTTGCTGAATTCTTGAATAAATGGACTCCAAAATCGCTGAATAAAACGTTCTACTCAGCTAAACTCCGTATTTTTTTTCTCAAGCCAGCCTATTATTCACGGATGTGTTGAGGATAAATTCCACTTTGAGCCACATTAATATGCACCTATAAATTTGCTTGTTCATGTGAGGCAAGTTACATTGGCCACACAAAGAGATCACATTCTTAACGCATCTCAGAACACTATCCGATATGGCTTTTAAAATGTGAATGTAAAACAATTACTAATTCAATACAGGACCATTTAATGAGCTATGGACACATCGCTCCGAACGAGTCTTCTTTGGAAATAACCAACACAGTCAAAGAAATTGAATCGAAGGGAGGTTGAACCAAGAACTTACACAATGTTGAGATATTGGCAATCCACCAACTAAAACATGAACTCTGAGTGCAAAGAACAATACATGCAACCTCTCACCCTTCCTTGGCCCTAATTCCCTTTTTTAGTATATTTTGGTTTATTTTTGTTATTACTTTTTTTGATTTTGTAATTTTAAACCGTAATCAGTTATTATGATCTTTAAATAATTTTTCGTGATGACTTCAGTTTTTTATCATGATGATGTTTTTCGTTTTCCTTTATATCTGTCAAGTGGACGACTATCATAATTATGACGCGTAAATCATTTTCATCATTCTATTCTTTTTTAACCCCCTGACTATTACACAATCTCACTTGATAACTGTACTCTCGAATCATTTTATGATGCAATCTTTTTTTAATCTTTCTATAGACATATATTTACCGTACAACTATAAATACTAATGTACAGCTTAAATAAATGATTTCGTCAAAAAGAAAATTTTCTTAGATGAATTCTCTTTATTTTTATCTAACTTAACCTACTGAATGGAATGTTACGTAAAAGCCTAGAGTATATTTATAACTAAGATAGTAAGAGCAATTTCAGCTGAATACAAAGAGTCAGTATGTTATGATGTATGCAGTTTATCTGTAAGTCATAAAGTAAACTGGATGTTATAAGATAAATGACACGAATCATTCACTTTAATACCAAAGAAGAAAGTATTGATGTTACCCGTGATAAATGATGCTCGGAAATACAATAACAATAACCAAGTGCACAATCGATGTAACTAGATTCACATGAGACGTTAAGCTGCTAATAATAAATACAGAAGGTGATTTCGAATAACCTGCAAAATCCAACGATTGTACATTAAAGAGTACCATCTGATAGCCCTAAATATTATCATGACTAAACAGATAACATTACTCCCAAATCGTAATTTCAAAGGTAGTTCCTTAGCAAATATCGTTATTCGAAGCTTATTTATTACAATTTTCTGCAGACATACTAATATTTCCAGCTAGCTATAACTTGCATATCAAAGGTACAATAAAATATTCCCATACTAAACGAATATATATTAAGATTTTTTGTGTGACAAATGAAGGTATTTCATCATAATATTTTACATTCTAAAATCTGATCTAAAAAAGTTATCAAAATAAAATGAAATTAATATCAGAAGGGTTTTTGTGGATATTATAGTAATTTTAATAGTTGATATCATGAGTCAATTGAAGGTAGAACACCATGGAAAACCTAGAAGAACTGGAAGGCCGTTTCGTCCTATTGTGGGACTCCTCAGCAGTGCGCATCCACGATCCTGCCTCGCGAGATTCCAACCCAGGGACTATCAGTCTCGTGCGCGTGTGTTTGACATCTAAACCACTAAGCCGGCATCCAACGGTGTTAATGTCTAACTTCAACCAATCCACGAGATTGAGCAACCATTCACCATTGTCTTCAGTGAGTTACTATCTCACAACAGACCTGGTTGTACTCCACTGGTCACTGCTTTTCACTAGAACTTCAGGAATACCTCTTGAAGCCAGTCACTAGTGAGCATATGTTGATTAATATCAGAAGGGGTTTTGTGGATATTATAGTAATTTCAATAGTTGAAATCATGAGTATAGCTTCAATTGACTCGTGATCTTAACTATTGAAATTAAAATGGAATTATTGATTCACAGGAATATTGAGATCAATATAAATAGTTATGTGAGTTACAATTCGGAATGTGTTCGTTCGGAAGCAGAGCGAATTAAATGAAAAAGAAATTTGTGCAAATAAAGCACTGAACCATAGCTCATAAAGCATCCAAATGTATTAGTCATATTTTCAGCATACAATAATATAAGCTAGAGGATTACTAAAAGCCAAGAAGTATTTGACAGTTGTTGTGTCTTGGTTTATGATTCCATAGCGATGAGCATTCATGACTTCACGTGAGATGGAATCCAGAACCTCCAGGTCTCTCAAAAAGCACAACGGTCTATATTTCCAACTTTAATGAGTTAATGATACGATGTGACGACCATTCGTTGATATAGGTGATAATCTTTCCACTACAGACATGGATGAACTCCACCGGTCATGACTTCTCACTAGAATTTATTTTTATATTATTAAACAAGAACCACGTACTAACTGAGAATTAACCATAGTAAAAATAATATTAACATTTCTTTTTTTCTATTTTTTTTTTAAATACACTGAAAAACCAATCGATAGAGTTAACCCTATAACCCTATAACCCTATATATAAGCAACATAAACCTGATTTCCACTAACAGAACAGGTAATTTAAACACCCTATTCCTGGTGAGTATCGAGGTCTAAAAAGGTTATGGATGACGTCGGTAACTGGGATTCAGAATAGCTCAGATTCTTATTTTCCATCAAGCACCAACTCTCTGAGTATAGTTAATATTGCCTTACTGATAAATACTAAGCATCGGAACACTTAGGTCTAGAACTTAGTACCAGTTACTTCTGACTACCTAACATCAAAATATTAACATTTCAAGTTCACTAGGTATATAAATTCAGATTAATCAGTCATTCTTATCAACAACTTTATTAACAGTTGGTTCACTAACATTGTACATAATTTCCAACTACATTGTTGAAAGCAATCGCATATAAACTGTCATTAAACGTCATTCAGAACTAATGACTACAATATCAAACTATATTAATGTGGTATATATTTATACAATCTCCTGATTACTAATTATTGTTTCTTTTTTTCAATTCTTTTAGACAATAAAATCTCAGCAACATGTAGCAACTATCAAATATCAACGTGTTTGACTTGATCATTAGTAAATGTTCAAATTCCACTGTTTAGTACTTTAAATAAATTATATTAAAATAAATAAACATATGATATTATACTACAATTTATTTGTATTACTTATTAGTTACAATGAAATTGTTTATTTATACCTTACAATAACTACTCAATCAATATAACTTTGATAACTTTGACACTGCTAGCCACTATCCATCTTTGCTTATAATGCTTGTGAATTAAGGCTATATTGAGGCAATACGCACAGTATACACATATGCCAATAAGTGACTGACCAGTTGCAGTCCTAACACATCGAACGGAAGATTCAAACAAACAATACTAAGTGAATCTAACTGTTAGTCGTTGTAAAACTACATGAATCATAACATTGAGAAATATTATTTTTTTTATCCATTTTTGGTGCAAGCAACAACCCCAAGTTGCCCTACTATTCGTCGCCTTCGTTTAGTAACACTTATTTAAAGGCAGTAAAATCAACAAGGTTGCAAACGATTGTCATTACCGTAAGTAATTGATCATTTATTGAATCACAATAAAGTGGTAGATAATTTGCATTTAGAATCGTGGATTGATCTAAATTTAATAACTATCGGAAGCCAGGAAGCACTAGGTAGCTACTTCGTTATAATATAACACTCCTTATTACTGAATACTCATGACCACATCATGACATATAAACCCTTGGATCCTGGATCAGTGATCTAAAAATTAAGAGTTCATCAAGCGATTGAAGGTCCAGGACTTGATCCTCGGTGGGGTCACGAATCCTCACCATATTAAAAATTAAGAAGCTTTGTGGCGATTCCTGATTTTCGATGATTGTATAACTAAGATTAGTTCCATGATGTTAACTGTCAAATGAAACAATCTCCAAGATCCCTCTACAGTAACAACATACAATTATTCTACATTTTAAAACTAAAAGTTCGCAAACCAATCCCTGGTTATCCAACTAACTTAACAAAACCTTGAAAATATAATTCTGGAAATACCTAGTACATACAGACATATGTTTGAAAATGAATGCAATTCAGTCAGTTGAAGTTAATTGAGACATTTATAAACAAAATAGTAAGAATGATTATTTCATCAAAGAATTCCCTTCACTGTGAATTCATTATCAGCACTGTACAATTATAAAATATAAGCTTCTTAAAAATGAAAATCAGTAATATACTTGTTAAATAATATAATAAAAACTTATTCTTATTAAGAATGTGTATGTGTGTGATATTTCCTTGAAAAAGCTTGGACCAGATTGCCAGGTGAAATGTTGGATTTACTTCGAATTCATTCGCTGAGATTTTACAAATATATAATTCCTAATTAACGTCTTACATCAACTCGACACCCAAATACTATGAAACTATTCGCTCTAATTTAGACGAAAGTTCTTATATGTGTAGATCTTGTTAAAATATTTAGTACTCATCAAGAATGTCATAAACGTCACAAAAACAATAACAACTGTGAAAAAGTTCTATAACACGATTAAAACAAAATTTTGAAATTAAAATGAAATTTATCCACAAAAGGCAATAATAACAGAACAAGCCGATAAAGAAAAAAATGTCTTTAATGAAGTCGAAATGAAGGATAATGAATTTGAAATATCAGAGGTTAAGAAAATAACAAAAGAAGATAATCTTAGGTTAAATGGTACTTTCCATAAATTCATGCAATCAAAAAAGCAGTGGAAAATGATTAAAATCTCTCAGATAACTTTATTATAACTTTAACGCTAAAAATAAAATGAATTTGCTTAAAAGCTTTCAGACGATGAACAGATCCAAACTACAACGGAAACCGGTTATTTATGAGAATCTCTTTTAGCTACTTACTAATTATCAGTAGACCGGATGATTCCCGTAAAGTAAACAAAGTGTGTTAAGATTTTAACAAAAAGTAGGTGATCTCAGGGACCAATACTAGCCAGAAAACTATTCAAGTAGGAAGCGCATAAGATACACGTCGATTCACTTCCCGACTGCACTGAAGATTTATGATGTCGAGGATCGAACAAAAAGAACTGACGTCGCGAGTGCACTGAATTCTTCCTGTTCATATGGAAGATGATATATTATCTGCCACAGTCGATCGGTACACACTGTGTTGTATTTTGGGATCTCACCTCTTCTTTTACGAGTGTTGAAACATACTTATATGGAATCCAATACTACACTCTCTCTCTTCAAATCCATGTGCTCCTGTGTATGTGATATGAGTGCCAAGTAATCTGTAGAGTGGCGAACATCCAGTCGCATCCAATCTGTCCAATGTTTTGCGTACTTCTACTCAGATGTCGAGGTCTTCATAATTCATTCGACTATCAGAATAAAGAGAAAAATTGGCAGTAGACAGCCTTGTCTCACACAGACCTTCACTTCGAATGGATCTGTGAGCTGCATGAATTCTCAGTGTAATCCATTGTGAGCATTCCGTAACATGGTGACGACCATCTCAGGCACTCCATCATGTCGAACAACAGTCCACAAATACTTCCCATTCACCCCGTCAAACACTTTCTCACAGTCAACAATGTTGACATAGAGTGATGAAACTCCTTCAATTGGTGATTGTTCAATACTATTTTATGAATTGTTCAGTACATGAGCGATCCTCAATAAATTCAGCTTGTTGTTCTAGAATTAGGAGTCTACTGAATCTATCATACGATTCAACAACACTGTTGAAAACTTTTAAAAATCTTGAGAGTAGTGTGTTTTCTTTGTAGTTTCCACAACTAATGAAATCCACTTCTTCGATATCCTGATAAGGTTTCCTTCTTTCCAGTCTATCGACATTTGTTATTCCTACCAAATCATTCAAATTACGATGTGGAGCATGTTTGAGGTGCCTCTACGTTTGATCTCAATGCTTCAGTGTTTCGGTACTGGTATGTTGACTCATCCTACTAATACTTTCCAACCATTCGTTTCACTTCTGGTCATTCTGAAGTCTCAAATTGTTGACAGGGTGATATTTGTAGAGACGTTTGTGCATACTACCTTGATGTCTATCATTTTCACCAACAATCATCTATTCAACAATTCGTCTAGGTGCTCTACACACCTGTTCAATTCCTCTTCGTCCCACCTCAGTAATCGGTTTTCCTCACAAATTATCATGACAGTCACACAAGTCTACTGGAGTTATCTGAGAGATTATTGTTTGGATCATATGGCCCATGAATATTTCCTTCATTCACAACTTCTTCTACTACAAGTTGTCAGATATTCCACATACTTTCGTTTGTCAACTCATACTTTTCTTCACTCACTCGTTTACTTCTGAGTATTCAATCTGTGCATCGGATTTCTCTGCTCTTCTCTTATTCCACTGTTACTGTTAACTGCCTTCTCATCTTCCATTGATTGAATCCCACACTGGTGATCTACAAGGATCAAATCTTCATTCTGGTGGGGCTACTCGTGACACAACACCTCCTGATATGATGAAGTCAGTGCCGCCTTATTCCCTTCCAACTTGTTCTCCATAGTGATTTTCTCTTCTTCTATGAGTAAATCTTGTGAAGCATGCAAAGTGTTGTTCTCAGACTGTCAAAGGAAGACCATGATAAACTCTTGTAATGAAGTCTATGCAGATGTTCACTACTTCTTCACCTTCCGTTCCAGATCGACCACCAACACCTGGTCATCTGAAGCAACACCAATTCCTCTCGTCATCCCTAAATATTCATGGACATTCTGAAACATTTATTGATGCACATGAAATCAACCGGATTCTGTGTAATGTGATTCGATGGAACCTATTTAACTCTGTGTATGCATTTGTGGAGTGAAATACTCTCACCTATAACCATGTTGTTGACAGCACATAGATTTGCAAGTCTCTCATCATTCTCATTCCTCCATGTCAGTTTGCATCACCACACGATTCGTTCATAACTGATGTTGTCCATTCCGATCTCGGAGTTTGGTTCGTCTAACAGAATGTTCAGGTCGTTTCATGGACATTTATCGAAGATCGACTTCAGTCTCTCATACAACTGATTATTCTCATCCTCATTGTGATCGTTGGTGGATATATAGAAATAGATCATACTCATTGTAATCCATCCCTTCGTCATCTCGATGAATGTTTCAATGATCCTACAACCATGAGACTTCCATCCCATAAGTCTTTTTCACGTTTTCTCGGAGAGCATCAGTGCAACTTGATATGGGAAGCCAATCACAAGTAGCGAAAGGTCAATCGATGGCATCGGGATGTGACCTAAATTTCAAGTGCATTTCATTGAGGTCAATGGGTCAATTTCCTAAGGATAAAGTGTTAGATATACGAATGAATATTTGTGCATTTCATTCGGTAGCCCAATACACGTACTCAAGTAGTACGTGCTCAAGTAATCAGTTGTGTGACTACAATACTGTGTATCAGTATCCCAATTCGGACACCGCAAGTCACAACTCCTCGTGTGTGAAGTTTTTTCTTCTTCTTCAACAGAATACAACAGAAACTCTCCTAAATCTAGTCTTTTCTTTTCAGATTACATTCGATGGATTTTACTTGTTGCAAGCACCACTAGTTAGTATCTTCTCATATCTGTGATTATTTGAGTGATTCTCCTAGTCATCCACATTGTGTGGACATTCTCTGTACCCGAATTAGTTGTTGGTTTGTTATTCAGAGAGGATATTGATGTGGTGACTATCGAAGAATCCTAGTTTTCATTATGAGACATTACAACTCTTATATTTGAACGCCTCTCAAATCGAAGGAACTAATTTTAAATGGATTAATTTGTTTACTGTGATTAGCTTTTTTGTGAAGCTCCTTTCTATGATGCATGGTAGCTAATTCCAACCTTACACTTTTCCTTGTTACTTAAGTTTGGAACCGACACCAACTCTTGAAGTTCTCTAGTTGGATTGGACACTGAGTCATTATTTAATTATACAGTAAGAATATTTACTTACTTGTTCACTTAGTTACTACCGTCAACCCTCGTGGAGGAGCAAAGACTGCCCACTAGCATTACCCACCCAACTATGTCCTGGGAAATCCTTTTCAGTTTAAATTCATCCTATTCATATCTGCTTCCAATTCCCAACGCAGTGTCTTCTTTGCCCTTCCACCTTTCCGTTTCCTTTCAGCATTCTAGATTAGGGATTGCCTCGTGATGCAGTTTGGTGATTTCCTCAAT